TGTTACCATTATTTAATCTGTATTCATACCGGAAGAAGCAACACCTAAATGCACATAACTGAACCGCAAGAAATATGATGTAGAATGAAATGGAATTTTCGAATGCTGAATTCCATAATTTAACCATTATTAACAAGGAATGGCGGAAATTTTAATAAAAAAAATTATTCAAGTTTCTAATCTCCTTCTCCCCCCCCCCCCCAAAAAAATAAATAAATATTCAAATTGTATGCACGCAATTAGAGGCGTTGAAGCAAAATTCTGCAGCAGAGGGAAACCGGCAATGTGTCACTTTAAAAATATTCCTTAGCTGAAACAGCAAACAATTTTGCTTCTTTATTATTTATGTACTATCATCAAAGTAACTGTAACATCGAAATTTCTTTTGGTTTAGCGAAATGTAGAAGAATTCTTTAAACAAAAATTTTATTTAACAATAAAAAGTTTCAATTTTTAACACTGCAGTTAGCTTAAGCAGGCTGAGGCAAAGTTTGGCTTTGGTTTCTACAACAAAGTGTTTCGGCTCTGAGCAAGAACTATTATAAAAGTATTCTAGCCTGCGAAGAGAAACCAGCCTAATTTTGCATTAGACTAACAATGAATGTTCATTAGCTAGCTAACATTTATTTTTAGTCTTAAAAGTATTAATAAAAACTAGCAAATGTTTATCCGGCGCATTTATAGAAGCGATCAAACTGCAGTATACTTATCGGTCCTTTCCATAACAAAGATTACCTCGCTAGTCCAAAAAATTTTAACGAAACACGCGATTAAAATTGCGTTTCATATACATAACTTTATATGTAATGATTTAGATAGATGGCTTGAGGATTCAAAAACCAGTTACCTGGGTACTTAAGATGAGAGAACGGGAAAGAAAAGCTTTCAGACGTGGCCACTGTTTTGAAGACCTAATTTTATTTTCGTAATAGTGCAAGCCCATATACGCATAAATAGATTCACAAGCATCATTTATGGATACAACATACACCCACAATTTTGTACACCTTACAACTTCTAAAGACAACAGACTAAGTAGAAAGTAAATTTTGCGTGGCTAGCGGCAAGGCGAAGCAGGAGAAAAAGGTCGACCAAAAACAGCGAGCATAAAGAAAGGGTAACCAAAAGAGAGCAAGATTTGCGCAGCAAAAATAGAGATTACATTTCGGATCACATTACAAGAATATTTACATCAAGCGAATTAAATTTCAGAAACAAAGCAAATCGATATTCGGATGCTGGGTTAAGATTTCATAGCATTCTAGGAATAATTGCGCAGCTGCGTTTCAGAATTACAAGAAATAGAGATTATATTAGAAAAGTTATTGCTTTGCTATTTTTAAAATTAAGAGAGGAGTGGAGTTAAAGAGCTATTGTGAATCAATAATTGAAAAGATAGTTATTTTATTATTATACATGCGGCCACGTCTGCAAGTTTTGAGTTAATGCATCCAACTACCACGCCAAATTATATAATAACGAGAATCTTCTACCAAATTTTATTAGATACATACATACAAGATCTCGTATACATCTAAGTCTTAATTAACATTTATATGCACAGTTCCTTAACAGATGAATTTATTAATTACCCTGAAATGAAATTACATATTATTGGTGCTTAAATAAATATAGAGAACGCCTGAAAATTTGTTCGCCTGATTTAATTAGTTCTACGGCTATATTTAAAATGCTATTCGGGTTTTAATAAAGAGAAGCCCATTTATTTCATTGCATTAAAGATTAATATTTGTAATTTACTCGAAGTTCAATCACACAAACTAAGCAGTAAGCATATTGAATGAAGTTCAGAAACTTTTGCAGTTCTGCTAAATAAATAACAAATTTCAATTAAGCTTAAAAGTTTTATTATTATTATTAAAAAGGAACTCGTTTCCTAGACCATAATTTTATGCAATTTGAATAGAACTACGCTAAGATTTATTTTACGACTACATTTTCTCTTTATGTTTCAACTTTTGATTAGTAAAGTAATATATTTCACTTATTACTGCATAAAGTCATTTCTTGGACACTCTTTTCTCCGCACGTAAACCAATTAGTACACTTCAACTCTTCAAGTTCCATCAATTTAAAAAAAAAAATCTAATCAGGAACAATTTATCGAAGTAAAAAGCCTCAATATCTTTAATGCACAATAGGCTTACGATATTTTCCATTCTGGGCTCATATAAACAGAAATCATATATCAAATTTATCATAGTTTAAAAGTCTATTTTATTTTATTCATTCCATAAACTAGAGTCATGAGCTCACAACCATTTGCTCAACAAATATTCGAAGTATATTATTTTAAACAACCAATATAATCTTCCTTGACTGGTAAGTTGAAAAATGCAGTTAAAAAGCAAACTTACTTGTCACAGATAATGAACTATTACAGTCATGCCTCTAAAGTTCTTAAATTTTTAATACATTAATATTTACAATGTTATTTATAACTTTGCATTTAATATTTACAAGTTACATGCTTGTCGATCATGGTAGGCAATCTAAATGTCAGACACGTTGACCTAAATTTATTGAACAGCTTCTTAAAATTATGTACCGAGTGTTTTCATATCCTTTACATTAAGAATTAAAAATGCATAAGCAACTAAATTTAATTTCATTTGGCCTAGAAAGAAGAACAAGCTATCCGAATAACTGGAATCCCAGACATTTGCATTTCGGATGACTGGAGTTCTACTGGATTCCGTTAGGTTTTTCAAATTCAAAGACTTACACAATTCAAAGACTTACACAATTCAAAGACTTACACAATTCAAAGACTTACACAATTCAAAGACTTACACAATCAAAGACTTACACAAAGACTTCAAAGACCTTAACAATTCAAAGACTTACACAATTCAAACACAATTCAAAGACTACACAATTCAAAGACTTACACAATTCAAAGACTTACACAATTCAAAGACTTACACAATTCAAGACTTACACAAAAGACTTACACAATTCAAAGACTTACACAATTCAAAGACTTACACAATTCAAAGACTTACACAATTCAAAGACTTACACAATTCAAAGACTTACACAATTCAAAGACTTACACAATTCAAAGACTTACAAATTCAAAGACTTACAAATTCAAAGACTTACTCACTGTTCATATAAAATATAGGATTTCGAAAATTTCAAAATTTAGTTCTATCCTGATTTAAAGTCTGTTTGGAGACTCGGTAACGATCTGGACGCCAGCTGGGTCACGAAATCCAAATCGTGAGGCGAGGGCTCCTAACAAGACCTATGTGGGCAGCTGTTCTTACCAAATGAATTATCCGACGCCGGAAGTCAGCCCAAGTTTTATTTCAACTCAGACTACTATTCGAGTAATTTGATTAAATGCATATTCGCCCTCCCAACTTCCATTCGAGATGAGATGTCTGTCTTCACACAGAGCACCGACGGTGAAGATTGCAACAATTTTGGATGCATAGTATTCTGAGGTACTGCAGGTACATTCTGAGGTATAAGAAGTTCACTACGAAATTTTTATAAACATTAAAAAATAACTATTTTAAAAAGTCTATACGTCAATTTTTCACATTTTAAAGAAGAGATGCCACAGATTATTACTGAGCTAGTGAATTTCTTTATTAATTAGCAGTTATTAAAAATAAATTAAATGAAATCCTATTTTAAGGCGTTAAAACGCAAATGCAACACATCTAAAATTTTGCTTTGCTTTCTACATAAGGTTAATATAATTTGACTTTAATTCAAAAAAGACCAAAAGTATATTTCTAAATTAAGCTCACAACATGTTTCGTTACTGAGGAATGGAGGTTAAGTACTAAAAATTATAAATCTTGGTTTTACAGACTTTGATACAAAGTTATTTTATGAAAACAGTTAGGAATTAATATGTGTGTAATATACCTACTAATAACTATTTTTGCGAGAAGCTGCAGCAAAGGTTATTAAAGCGCTTTCTAAGTCTGTTCAAGGCTGAAAATTAACCATGTTTTCCTCGTTTAATTACCTCATTACTCCCATATTCAACGTTTGCTGAAGTGGGTGCTTCCTCTTAGTCGGAGGATGTTGCTTCCTTCATTAAAGTTGCTTCCGCGCAATATTACGTGCTTCGGGTCCCCTTTTATAATTACTGCGGCAAAACAATGTAGAGACATATCAGCTGTTCGGTCATATTTAAGATTATTTTTTAAATCCAGTTCGGTATACACATATTCCTCACATGTATAAACCTTCTTTAAATAAATAAAGTTCTGGTATAATAAAATAATTTATTAAATGTCCAACAGGGTAAGCATTTTCTTTACTTACAGTTATAATACACTAGTGCATGACATATATAAAGATAAAATAACCAGTACCGCACTGTAACAGGCTTCAAATTAAAGCTGATGATATAATTTGTAGTTAAAGTTTCACGCGAAAATTTAATGAATACAATAAAAGGTTTATAAAGTCCGATTAAAAGGGATATACTGATTGAAAAGTCCAAAAAGGAAACTGTACATTTTGATTATCCGCTTCTTTAGTCGAGTTTATACCTTACAAGAACCAATCCCCCCCCTTCGTGTTCCACACGTGGATTTACGCGCTTTATATTTAACTCAACATTATCCATAGGTTATAAAAATCTAAATATCGGTCATATCGATTTTTGCTTTTAATCATCAAATTTCTTGATTTTTTGTATTATTATTTATGAACAGAATAGTACTTATAAAGTGCAAAGATGGCCAAATTCAGCAATGACTTCAGAAAATTTCGAAGGGGGTGCGGATAATCAGGAATTACCAATCACTTTTGATCTTTTATAACCTTTTTTATCCAACACAGCTAGTGAATATAATGCTCGAAATACAGAAAATGGATATCTGAGATCAAGATATCTAATCCAATTGCAATACCAGTAAATGTGGCATAGTCGATTCCATTACAATAACGTAGAAAACCGCAAGAAATTTCATTTCGACGGAAAGAAGTTGCATTTACATAAACATTTATTTTCAGCTAAACAAACGCGATACTTTATTAGTAAGTTGTCTTTACACATAAATAAGCACACATTAATTAAGTCCGTGCAGCATCCCACGATCAGCAAAGTATTTCTCACAGGAATATCTTTATCCATGTACGCAGCGAGGCCAACAATTCAGTAGTTCGGTTTCCCGTCCCTGCAAAGCAAAAGCACTAGGCTATAAAAGGCAAAGTCTCAAAACAAATGCTATAAAAATGTTGGTATTAAACATCAGATTTCATTTACCTTATACTACTAATAAAGTTTACAACGCTTAATCACCAGAAAATGTTCACCACCTCATTTACATTAATTTTTTTTTTTAATTCTCAACGGAACATAACATGGCATTTGCTTGGTTTATGCAACAAAGATTTCCTGATCTATGAGATCTAAAATAATTCCTATTAAGAACAATGTAAAATGAGCTCGAAAACAATACATAACTTTGAGCTAAAAATCCTTTTCCGTTCATTAGCCAATAAATAGTATATAAAGAGAGCTATGGTAGTCGCAAAGGAGAAATTTAATAAAACATCTTAAAATTTCGAATGGTTTGATTTGGTTTATTTCATTACGGCACAGCAGGCAAGAGCTTCGCTAATGGGAGAGATGCCTTCTTGGAGAAGGTTTGGTTTGGTTTTATGAGATTACCGCAAAGCCTCGAGGGCTAGAACGAGGCTCCTTAAGGGAAGGGATGCTTTCGTGGAGGACTTTCTAGGGAAAACTGGTTTGTATACCCATTACACATGGAGAAAACGCTTATGCAGCCAGCCTGTTTGCGGGATTCGAACCCCTGGGACCGAACTACCATTGTTCAACGTCTTTACCGCTCGGCCACTGGTGCTTCATGGAGAAAAAAACCTGGCTCATATACACGTTACACACGGCAAAAACCACAAAAACGCCCATGCAGCCAGCCCGTTCGCCTGGAATCGAACCCATAAAATTTCGAATGAAAAGCGAAGTATGGGAATAAAAACAGGGGGGGAGGGAATATAAATTGCACGATATCTTGCGCTAAATATCGACGAAATCTGTAAAGAATACATAAAAAAAGGACGTTACCCATAAATTAAAATTAATTTTATTAAATATAAACAGCGTTCTTAGAACTTAATTAGGAGTGAATTAAAATATTCCGAACAATTATCTCCGTGACTGAAATTATTCATTTCCCTAAAACGTATACACTATTACCACGGTTAAAATGAATGACTGCACTCACAAGTTCCTGAACTTTTAACGCAAATAAGAGATTCCTCTTAAAGAATTCACAAAATCCATTTCACCCCCCTACGCAGATGCCTTAATTCAATTAACCTACAACCCAGCCAATTAGAAAAAAAAAAAAAAAAAAAAAAAAAAAAAAAAAAAAACAGGAACAGAATGAGAAAAGCTGGAGGGGGAAGAAGAAAAACGAAGAAACAAGTTGAAGGAGAACAGGAGAGTTTACGTTATGTTTTGAAGACTGTGTATTGCTAACAAAAACTGAAAGTCCACAGATTTCATTTAAACAAATTTGTGACGTCACCTTAAGTTCTTAGAATACTTCTCTTTAATCAAGAAAAATTTAAGGAAATGTAAAAAGATTTAAATATTTCTCATTTATTCAAAAATTACAGAATCATGAAAGATTAAACGTGGCACGACCAGTTTGCCAGCTTCCAGTGTTCTCAACCTTTACGGCACTCAATTTAAAATGCGAACTTCATAAGTATTTTTAGCTCGGGAATAAATAAACGACGATTAACCCTCAGGCAGGTTAGTAAACGGCCGCTGAAGAGGCTGAACGCATGGAGTTTTCATAGTTTTTCTATGTCTATCATGAATATAAGCATTGTTTAACAAGTCTATACGGAAAGATTAGTTCTAAAACAGATGCTTCTTGAAGTCTTTATCACATTACATTATCGTAACTAACTTCAAAATTTCATGATATTTAAGACAGCAATCACGGCATAAAAGGCTAAAAGAGAACTAATCACTGATTCACATACACTCTTATGCAGAACAGAGTATAACTGTAAATCTTCTAATAGCACTAAATTTTAAAATCATTCTCAAGGCACCAACAAAAATTCCGTTCCCAATGATTTTTCTGAGAAGCAAGTGACTATCCACTGGATTTAAGAAAAAAAGGGGGACGGAGAAACGGGGCAAAAGAGGCATTTGAAACAACTTAACCATCTTAGAGTCTCCTTAAAACTCTAGAACAGATGAGAGAAAATTTGAAAATTTAAAGAACTGATAATATTTGATATTACAGCTGTTATACAATCGCCTCACCCCACACGATGAGCAAAGATCATTTTTCTGACATGAAGCAGAAAATTATTCAGCACAGATTTCGAAACAATTTTCATGTGCCAATATGAAAAAAATTCCGCAATGTTTTTGAAGATATGAATATAAACTTTTTTTTTCCTTTATTAGAACCACTAAATTTTTTTCTTTATTAGAACCACTAAAAAACTTTCCTAAAAACACACAAATCTGATTTGTCAATCTTCCTGCTGTCACCGTCAGACTGAGGTGAAATCTGAATAATTTTTATCAGTCTTTTCCCATTAAATTTCCTCAAACACCTGATCTAAAAAAAATCTTCACAATATTTTTCAGAAAAAATTCACTGCGCTCTCTTGAAAAAAAAAAAAATACTCTCACCCCACACGACGCTAAAGTTTACAGAAGATACGTGAAATGACTCAGCACACTGGAGGAAAAATGCAAGCAAAACCACTCCTAGGAAACAACACTCCCCACACACACACAGAGACACATAACAACGCTTGTTCAATAAACAAATGCCGGTTAACAGTCCTTCTCCCCATCTGTTCTTGCAATAATATCGACCTTTCGCACGGGTGGTTCCTGCATAACCCATTCGACGTTGTAAAACGTGTTATTTCGTCCCATTTCTTTCCGCAACATCGCACTTCTGCCGCCACACTAATAGACAAAAATGCCACTTTCAACAGCTGACAAACAGCGATAGTTTCCCACATGAGATCTCACGTTTTAGGCAATTAATGACCCAGTTCGAATAGATATAAAAGTGCGCTTTTCATAAAAAAGTTATTTTAATTTCGAAACGTCTGACGGGGAATAGGACTGTGCGAAATATAGTTCAGGTTAACAGTTACAATGGAAACAGGGGGAAGGCACCTAAATATAGATTTCACTGAAGACTGCTCAGGGACAAGCTTTGCAGGAGACACAATTGGAAGATATCACTTCCTAGGGGGCGCACTTTAGGTATCAAGGCAGGAAAGAGCCGACAACATCAGCAAAATCAAGGAGAGAAAAAATATTATTTCACCATTACTGACGTGTAATTACTTTCACAAACTCCAATCCATATAAAATTACTCGAACAGAAGCCTCTTTTATTACCTTCACCTGCTATAGAATGTCCTTAAATTATTTATCGAGTAATTTTTAATTTACCTGAATTTTTTTTTTTTTTTTTTTTCTTCAAGAAATATATTAGTAAACCAAAAGATTAAAAAAAGATCTGTTTAAAATAAATAATATTCAGAAGCAAATTATTTAAAAAAATTTTCCATTTAAGTAGTAGTTGCTTATGAATGAACGGCGCTAATAATTTTTTATATATATATTCCCAACTTGGAATACTGCAAGCAAACAATTACGGCAAAAACAAAATCAATCTTGAGGAGAAAAAGTCATTGAATATTTTCCGAATCGTGAAATATCTCCCCCCCCCTCTTTTTATACTTTAAAAAATAGGCTAAGATCAGAACATAGCATGTCTTCTTTGATATGAATGAAGTATGTAAATGATGTGAAGTACACTAATGTCAGAAATTATATACCTTACAACATGACTTAACTGCTTTTGAAAACAGTCGAATGTTGAAATCTTGAAATATTTCCTTTCAGATACTGGACAGTCCAAATCGCTCATGTGTCATAGAAGAGATTTAAAAAAGATGTATAAGCTGGAACAAAATCTTGACAACAATGTTAAAAAAGTAAATACCATTCCAAAAATTCTGAAATGGAGATTATGGCAATTAATGGATCAATTGCAGTTCTTCCAGATATGTTAGCCCACCAGCATCTGAGCGGTAAAGTCGCTGAACATTGGTAGTTCGATCTGGGTTCGATTTCAGGCGAACGGGCTGTTCTGTATGGGCTTTTAGTGGTTTTTCCCCATATGTACCTAGATACAAGCCAGTTTCCCTCCTCTACGAAAGCATCCCCCTTCTTAAGCACATAGCTCTCCAGCGCTTTGCCATTTATCAAATAAACCAAATCAGATATGCTGGGGCAGAATAGGATAGACAATTCAGTTAAATCGATTAATTATCAGAAGTTATAAATACGACAGCATGGAAATTCATTATACCGATGAAGCAAAAGTAATTACTGGTTTCATCAAAGTAAAATTACACGTCTGTTTTCATTCAATTTGTTCTGGAAAAAAGTTAATGGTGTTCGACAATTGGACACTTCCGAGATAACATGGCCGACAAAATAATCTACACTTTATAATATACCTACTCAAGATTTCACTTCACAGGCAGAAAGATATGACAAAGCATTTCTGAATAGCCTATTATAAGCATGTCGTGCCCTTTTTAACAAACAAGCCAGGATTATCGAAAAATTTATTGACTCACGGAATAAGAAAGGCACCTGCTTTCTGGAGCGCTTTTATGAATACCATGACGGAAAGCTAAGGTTAGTTGAGAAAAGCCTGAATCCAACCACAAGGAAAAACAAATTCAAAAACTTTACATGACTGAATACTGGTTAATGAAGGAAATATTTCACGTGATCAAGAGGAAAGTTATATGCCTAGGAAGCACTGTCTTCGAATAGGATTTTTAAATTGCTGATTCGTTGTAGAATACGGTAAAGCTAAGAATATCCGCGAAAAAAAAAAAAGACTGGATTATTACTCCTATAACAGCCAGCCTGATTAACTACCCGTCTTCAGCGGTTTTATAACTGGCGGGCCTATATCCAGAGAAACAAAAATTAAAGCCTCCAGGAAGATCTTTCTAAGCGAAATTGGCTACTCCTTACGCTACGCATTGGAAAAAATCATGAAAATCTATGGAATCAGCTGATGGTAGAATGGAAATCGAGACCACAACGCAACTACCAGCATCACCTAGCTCTCGC